TTGTTAATTGTTTACTGATAAAGCATGAAGAAGGCTTTTTTGGCTCCAAGTACATTGAAGCCACTATCCTATGTTTCATTGTTTTTAATTTGCTTTATGCTTCTGTAGATGATTTAAATTACTCTCTTTTTCCTGAAGATCACACAATCTTTCAATATTTAATATCCATCTGCAGACTATGCTCAGGTTTTACAGTTAGGAGGGAACTTCTTTTGTGATCTTCTAGAATCTAAATATGGCAGACTTAAAGCTGAAATGAAATCTTTCCTTTCTAGAGGAAACTTTAATGCCATGTTACTTATCTGGGGTATTGAGCATAGTGGTATTTTGAAATTTAATAACACAGAATTTGGAAATACCTGCTGCTAACATTAATCAGGCTTATGGCAAAAAGAAAAGTTGGTTTTGGTTTTGGGTTTTTTTTCCAGTTGTATTACTTAGATCCGGAACTTAGTAGAACCATATTCTTCAGTGTGCCAGGAACAAAGCTATTTTAAGAAAAGCAGAGTTATGGCTTAATACAAATGACAAATTTGTATAGAGTGGTTTTTGCCCCATAACCACTTTCTTCAGAGTGCTTAAAATAGGGTATGAAGCATTTTTCTGGATTTATTTCTTGTTTTTTCTTTTGAGAGAGGTGCTAATGTGTCCCAGTTATGAAAAAACTTTCATGTAGTTTTTTTTTATATGATGTTTCCCACTTCACAGATGGGCTTTTGAGGCACTGAGATTTGAAGGCTCTAGGAAATCTTCAGCAGGTTTGATTCTTGAGTAGTGTGGCTTGCCTTAAATCATTCCAGGTCATCCTTCTCCAGATTTAGCCAAAATACAGCCTTTAGAGTGGAGGTAGCAGGGATTAGATAGCTGTGTTGAATACAGAATGTGAGAATTATTCTTGTATTTACTTACTGTTGTTAAATACTTCAGAGTCTCAGGAAGCTAAAGAACAGATTACCTGTCATTGTCCGATTGTGTGCTTGTAAGCTGAATAGGCATGGGATGTGGGATTTAAGATGGTAGGACTTCATAAAAGGTAACTGAAATATTGCTGTCTCTTGACATGATTGCATTTGTATAAAAAAAAAAAAAAAGTAAGACTTTTTCTGATGGTTTAAAAATACAGCTTATAAAATACAGATCTAGAGAGTTTGCTATGCAGTCATCTGTGCTTACATCAGCTAGCATGGGATGTCTGAAAAATACAGAGAATAGTTATCTTTCTCCCAAAGGGGAGGGATGGTGTATGCTGTGCTTCAAAGATATACAGAAACATATTAATTTGAAGACCATAACGGAGAATAGTTATTTCCCATGGCAATAGTGAGAGTTGATCTGCCCCTGCCAAAAACTGTGGATAAAGCAACTACCTACCTGAACCTATAAACAGCTCTCTTCCCCTTTTCCATGCCTGTCTCTACTTCTTCATCAAGACAAAATGTAGTAGCTTACAGATAATGCTGTTCTCTTATGTATATAAAACTGTTTTTTTCATATGTGTTATGAATCTACAAAATACTGAGAAGAACATGGTGGGAGAGAAGGAAGGAAACCAGGCAGGAACTGCTCTGAGTTAAGTTGTTAGATATTTTGAACTTACTAAGACTCCAGTCCTCAAAAGGGACCTCAAAATATAGAATAATTTCTTCCTTATTTAATCATGCAAGAACTTTTTTACAAAGTGGAGGTAAGATCTTTTCTAGTCTGCGATTGGTCCTAATGGAACACTGGGCAAAGCTTACAGGCATATGAACTAGTATCATTAAATGTCATTTGGGGGAGTTCTGAAATAATGATGAGAGCTAGGAACTTAGTGGAAAAGGTCTGTGTGTAGGTATGAAGTTCAGGGTTTTTGTTTGCTGGGGTTTTATTATTTTAAAAATATTATTCTGTGGTCTGTGATATACTGCATTCTGTTTGCAGTTCTACCAACTGTAAGTATCTAAGAAGGTACAAGTAAATATTCCTTAACAGAGGCCAGGATATCTAGAATTTGTGGCAGCTACTTACTGTGCTAATTTCTGTACAGATGCTTCTGAGTTCATTGCAGCATCTAAATAACCCAAACCAGTTGCAGTCTGAAAAAATAGTCTGGTACAGAAATTAAAGTAATTTTAACCTTAAAATCTTAAGGCCATAGTGAAGAAATGAACATACTTGATAATGTTATAGAGCAGCCAAAAGGTAATTGTTGTTCCAGAATTTAGGGAGCATTGTACCTTCTGTAATTACGCATAGTAGTAACTGTAGTTATTCAAAATGCACTGCTGACTTGCTTAAATTTGTTAATAGTGCAGTGAACCCTGCCAGCTGCTATTACTGCTTGTACTGTTGCCTGTCCTTCTGCTCACTGTCATAGTAGTTATTAACTTTGATAAGTATTTCTGACATCTTTTGTATGTTGCTGCTCTTTGGAGGTCTACAGCTGTCTCATGTTCTTACTCATACGATGTCAAGTCTAAACCTAGGGGACAGCAGCACTTTGCTTTTAAGGATTTGACTGATAGAGTTCAAACTAACAGCACCTTAACTGGTAGCAAGGAAGATTCAGTATAGAGCGAATTGGGAGTCACTTGGTGAGTCTAGTACTTGCCAACCTATTGTATGCACAAATTAAACAGTAGATAAGAAATTACCTGAGTAATTTTCTCCCCCCACAACCCCTTCCCCCCTCCCCTTTTTTTTTGTTAGCCAATTTTTACATTATTCGCCATTGTGAAGCTACTTCTTGCTTACGAAATCTGGGGCTGGGATGGGTCTTGGGCTGAAAATTAAAATTGTGTATCAGTTCTCACTTGAAGGAGTGTATGAGCATAGCTGAGTATAAAGTAATTATAGTGTATTACTAGATATGGTTATATACACACCTGAAAGCTTGTTTGCCACCCATGTGCTCCTGGTAATTATCTGACCAATACCTTCTCTGTTTAATGCTCCAGGATGATTGTGGTGGACTCTTTATCATAAATATGAGTCTGGGAGCAGAGAGCAACTGGAGGATTGAAGGAAAAGAATCTGCCAGATTCTTTCACAGATGTTTTAGTGAAGAATTTATGATAAACTGAGTTTCCTCATAGAAGAGCAAGCTGATATCTGACTTAGACTCCAGCTTGATAAACTAATCTGCCTGGATTCAGATCTCCAGACTGGCTGAAAGTGGGCCGTGGATAATACTAAAGGGCAAAGTTTGACATGTTGAATTGCAAATAAGTATTAGGGCTGCCAGGAGCAGTGAAGGGTTGCTTGAAATCTCCTTGACTGATAGCTCCAAAGATAAGCTTGTCTAAATTCATGTTTCTGGCTGGTTTTTTTCTTTCCTGTGCCTGCAGTGATGTTTGAGTAGTAAGCTGTGGCTTCCAGTGAAAGCTTGCAGCCTCAGTATGTAGGGGTTTTTTGACAGAAAAGGAGTGGCCATATCTGGCCACAGTCCTATCTGAAATCTGTGTCCTGGTTACATGGTCCGCTTGGTGGGCTTGGTTCACCCTGCTTCCATCCTGTATTTTGTGGGTTTGGATGATTTGAGGAGCGACTTCTGGTGTAACACATGCTGCTGAAATAGCCAAACGCTGGCAAAAACTCTGGGAGTTGCTTTCTCTTTGTGAGAGGGGAGGATGTATTTCTTTGGCATGTATGTGGCCCTGAATGAAGTTGAATGTTGTTACCTTTGCAACTGTCTGCATGGATTGCAGTAGAATGGCATCTGGCCAAAATCTTGCTACACCTGGACCATGCCAAGGTTATTTGCTGTCTTTATTTCTTAATTTGTCCATTTGTGGCCTATAAATTGAGGTAGAAGACAGAGGAAGGTCGGAATGTTATCATAAATGAAACTGCCCTTATCTTTTGACATTGGTTAATGTCTATTATGACCAAATAAATGCTTTATTCTTTATGCAGCTTGTCCATGCAGACTTCTTTATACATGAGTGCCTTGCATGTGAATTGAGTTCCTTTAGAAGTTCATCTGAGGCTCTGAGTTTGTCCAAGGAGTTTGTTGATCACAAGGGGGTTTAAACAGGTTGTCTTGCTTCTTGCTCTCTGCTTTTAGAATGAAACACAAGAGTATTTGAGCATACATAACTACTGTGGAATTCATGTGGAAATATATTTAAAAATATTGTAAGGAAGGTAGGAGGGGTTTTGAGTGTTAAGGTAAATCATCTATGTGATAATGTTCTGTCTAATTGAATGCTCACTTGTGTTCCTGCCTGATGATGAGCAGCAACTCTGGCAAGTTCCTTCTAAGTACTTCTAATGAAGTATCAGTAATAATTACTGGGTTCTTTTTCTGAAGGCCTGCTATTCTGGGGGAAGGAGAGAGATGACCTGTTCTAACAGCCCTGTAATTCACTGCTGCAAGAAGAATAGTGTAACTCTTGGTTTAAGGGATTCTTGCCTTCTCTGTCTAAACATATTGTGTGTTCCTAATTTTGGGAAAGAAAACTTCAGGGGGTGGGGAGGGGAGGAAGGGGATATAAACCTAAATTCCAGAAATACTACCACAGATAATGGTGTCTCAGCACTTGGCTTCAGGAGTGGGTGAAGTCATTAAGCTTCTGCAGTGGGGAGCTAGCTGCTGGTGGAAACTTTGCATGTTTGTGTTTCGGGTGTGTGTTTTGTTGTGGTGGTGGTGTTTAGGTGTTTGGGGTTTTGTTTTGGTTTTGCATTTTAGTGAAATCATGGATTGTATTTATCACTTGACAGGGTTTGATATTAATTAAATGCCAACACTCCTGATCTTGTGACATTCAAATTGTAGAGATGGAAATACTTTAAAATGACAAGTGTTACATAAGGGGTTTCTGGAGCTAACGTCCTATGGCATCTCTAGTATGCTTAAATGAAGCAGTACTAATGGTATTAAATATGCTGTCCACTTTTGTCCTATGAACTGTCTCTTAAGTATTGGTTTATACTCAAATTGCTTTACTTTTATGTTGTTCTTGTCAGGCAAAATTTGAGGGGTGAGCAGTAGGTACCAGACTCGATGAGTTTCCATCGAAATGTCGGAAAAGTCAGGCCAGAGTACAAAAGCAAAGGATGGAAAAACGAAGTATGCAACACTCAGTCTGTTTAACACTTACAAGGGAAAGTCGCTGGAGACTCAGAAAACCACAGGTGAGTAATCTGACTTCAGTTTTGCATTCTTTTGGTTTCATCATTACTGTAGTGTTAATTAAGAGTGCAAAGTATATGAGCACTTAACCACAGCAAGATTTATTTTCTTTTTAACTGCTTGATACAACAGTTAAGTGGAAGAAATCTGGAAAGCAGTGTTGATTACAGTGTCTGATTAGCTGTAAACAAGATTATCAGTTCAGGCAGACAGCATTTGCAGTCTAGTAGGAAGTAGAATATAGGTAAGTAAAAACTGTTCTATAGCTGCAGTCACTATTTGTTACCAGCATATGACATGCCATTTCCCAGCTGTGCTTTTTACCGTATTGACATTAGCGGTACTGGAGATGTTTGATTAACAAGAAGGCAGTGCTAACTTTCATATCAGGTGCTTTGTCTGTTTTGCAGACAAACACTGGGTGAAACTGACACTGACCTTTCAAGTAAGTTTACTGTGGGCCTTTTTCATGGTTAATTGGATTAAGAATCAGGAGGGAATGGCACTCTGAAGGCTTAGAATTTGATTTGACATAACTAAAATTACGGGGTGAAAGAGGGAAAGTGTTTTAAAGGCTGAAACTGAGATGTTTGTAATGATACATGTCTGGGACAGTATCTGATACTTGTTCACCTGAGTTGATTAGTTGGTAGGTTGAATGTCTTGCGTAGTACGTTAGCTTCATATTGCTTTTTCATACTTGTGGTCTGGAGTAAATGCAGTTTGTAGGAATGTTTTTGCAAGAGCAGCATCTGCCAACTGAAACTGGCAGCGAAAAAGAAATGGGCTGGACCCATGTAGGTATTCCTGGACTCATCAAAGAACATTAAACTCCAAGAGGAGCAAGAGAATGATGTTTGACAACCTATTAAAGGATATTAGGATATCAACATCACATTTTAAATGACTTCTCTAGCTTCCTGTCATTGAGCAGTGTGTATAAAGTTGGGGCAATATATCCTTTTTTATTTCTGGAATAGGCCAACTATAGTGGCTTGCTATTCAAAGAGTACACAAGTTGTCTCAGACCAAGTATTTCTAATGCTGTTTTTTAAAAGTAAATTATAAAGAACTTTGAATGTCTAATTCTTACACTCTTAAATTTTTCTTGAAGAAACATTTTTGTTGATTTAGGTAGCTTTGTATGATTGCTGCCTGCTAACAGCATTGTTAACTTTCGCTTTCTGTTTTGGCATGCAGTTGCTGCACGCCATGGATTACAGAGTCTTGGAAAAGTTGCTATTTCAAGGAGGATGCCTCCGCCAGCTAACCTCCCCAGTCTTAAAGCAGAGAACAAAGGCAATGACCCTAATGTGAACATTGTGCCTAAAGATGGCACAGGATGGGCTTCAAAGCAAGAACAGCACGAAGAAGAAAAGTAAGTGACCGATGAGATCTGGGTTGTTTTGCTGTGCCATTTCTCCCAAGTCTTTCTAAAGCCAGGGGTGGCCAGAGCCTGGGAAGAAATTGGCTGAACTTGACCGTCCTCAGGGGGGGGAAAAAAAAAAGAGAAAAAAGCACTGCTGTTAATTTTAGTAAGGAAGATTCTTCCTATTAGGTCAATACTTAACAAAATGGGTAACAAAACACATACTTAAGTTGGAAGCAGTGTGCTAATGAATTCCATATGAGGAGTATCAGGTACCTTTAGCCACCTGATTGTGTACATTCTGATAGCTGCTTAAATGAAATACTCTAGCATGTTTTTGTAAGATCAGTGGAATCACCTTAAAATTTCCTTTAAATTTGGAGGAACCGTTAGGTACACAGCAGCTAAATTAAATTATAACTTGCAAGTTTGAGACTATGCAAAAATCTGTTTAATTTACTGATTGTGCTGATGTATGGCAGAGAAGGTTCAAAAATTCTTGGTTTGTACACACTTGTTTGAGTCTCTACTTTGTTCTTGATACTTGCACTTTAATTTGTTTGTTTGGCATGCCATAAATTCTACAGATTTACAAAAATTTTTGTAAATCTTAAACTTTACTATCATAGAATCGTAGAATAGTTAGGGTTGGGAAGGACCTTAAGATCATCTAATTCCACCCCCCTGCCATGGGCAGGGGCACCACACATTATGTCGCCAAAGGTTCTGTCCAACCTGGCCTTGAACACCGCCAGGGTTGGAGCATTCACAACTTCCTTGGGCAACCCATTCCAGTGCCTCACCACCCTCACTGTAAAGAACTTTTCCTTATATATAATCTAAAGTTCCCCTGTTTAAGTTTAAACCCATTACCCCTTGTTCTACCACTAGAGTCCCTAACGAAGAGTCCCTCCCCAACATCCTTATAGGCCCCCTTCAGATACTGGAAGGCTGCTATAAGGTCTCCATGCAGTCTTCTCTTCTCCAGGCTGAACAGCCCCAACTTTCTCAGCCTGTCTTCATACAGGAGGTGCTCCAGCCCCCTGATCATCCTCGTGGCCCTCCTCTGGACTTGCTCCAACAGCTCCATGTCCTTTTTATGTTGAAGACACCAGAACTGTACACAATACTCCAAGTGAGGCCTCACAAGAGCAGAGTAGAGGGGCAGGATCACCTCCTTTGACCTGCTGGTCACACTTTTTGAAGCAGCCCAGGATACGGTTGGCTTTCTGAGCTGCGAGCACATGCTGCTGGCTCATGTCAAGCTTCTCATCAA